TCACTGTCATTTTGCTACTGTTATGAATCAGGCAACCGCTGTGAAAGGGTACTTCAACACCCCCCAAAAGGGTTGTGACCCACAGGTTGAGAAGCACTGCATCTAGTAAATCCAGCCTAACACACCTTGTAAGTTGCCTAACACTCAGGTTCATCCTCCTTGACCGTAAATTGGAATTTCGCCTGGGATTTAGAAGCAAAGACAATGCAACTTCAATTGTACAGGATCTCATGAACAGTGGGGCTTGATAATCCTCTTTTCAACCCGATGTGGTCTCTTCTCTCTTTTCCCCATTTCTTCCTCTAAATGGGAACTCTGAAACTCTATTCAGATGAATTTGAGCTGAGATGGATGACCCGAGTTTCAATAACTCTCTCTTCCAGCTTCCAAAGGCCTCCTCCCATCCCTTCTGACTGACCCCCCATGCCATGGCCAATTACAAATGTCATCATGTGAACTCGTGGGACCACATGTCTCTCGATCTTTCCCCCAGCTCTAGCCTACACATTGTTGTACACGCTCCTGCTCCCCCTGCACCCTCCCCGCTCTGCATTTCTTTCCCTGGCCTGGCCAAGCCTTTGCATCCTCTAAATCCTGAGCTCCAGCCTCTTTCTATGCAAGGCCTTGCCAGACCCCTGCAGTCTGAAGTAACCCACCCCTCCTCCTCCAACGTCTACAACACGCACACATCGTATACTGCTCTCTGGAACACCAAGCACTCACTAAGCACTGAACTGTTCATCACAAGGCCAGCAATTCACACCCACCAGGCACCCAAAGGAGAAAGCTGAGGCCGGCTGCCCCTGTGAGGCAGGACTGCCTTGGAAACCCTGTGGCTATGGTGACTGTCAGTCAGACAGAATGGACCCCGTGGCAGCGAGCTATTACCATGTTGCCCGTATTGACAAACTCGCTTTACAACCTGTACACTTTCAGCTCTCTTCCTGCCTAGCTCTAGTTCGTTATCAACTTTCTGAGAACTTCACCTCTTACAGACCTTGTTATCATCCTCCACAACCCCAACTCTGCCTTCCACACTGACATCTAACCAAGGATCAGGCCCGTTCTAAAGCCCAAACTAGGTGGTATTGCCATTTGAAATGGTCTTGCACCACTCATCCACATGTTTCAGGTTCCTCTGAGAGGAACTTCAGAGGCAGGCCAAAAGGATAAGGAAAAGACACACACACACACACACACACACACACACACACACCAATAGAGCTACTAGTAGTGGTTCTCAGGCATTCCATTCATTCCACCCATTCAAAGATCACTTTTTGAGCATGATGTTCTAAGAACTGGGAAAAAACATCTCCTGCCAAATATGCACTCCACCAGCCACTCAGCGAGAGAAAGACAAGGGAGACTTTGTACTCCCCTAATAAGAAAGAGTTGCCGTCTCGGAAACCCACAGGCACCATTGTACCCTGTCCTACGGGTCGCTATCAGTTGGATTCAACTCAATGGCAGTGAGTTTCGTTTTGAGAGTTCGTCCAATAGCGGAGACAGGAAAGAAGAGAATTATGATCTTACAAGGTGAGTTCTGTATTCCAAGAGGTGTGGACAAACTGAGAGCCTGGGAGTGCTGGGTGAGTGGTACCCAGAAACACCCCCACTCCCCACCCTGGGATGACCACCATGAGGGCTCTCTCTGACATGGGGCTCACCACCAAGCCTGTCTAAGCTGAATAAAATCTCAAGATACAGAAAGGGGCAGCTCAATCAGGGGCCATAAAGTAGGGGGAGTGCCATGGTGAGTACACAGCTGCTAAATGAAAGGTCACTGGTTCAAAGGCCGTCCCATGTGGATAACGTCCTGGAGATCTGTTTCCACAAAGATCGCAGCCCAGGAAATCCCATGGGCAGTTCTACTCTGTCCTGTGAGTCAGCAGTACCTCCATGGGGCATTATGACCACAACAAAGTGGGGC